TTAACTCAAACCACCTGCAAAAGCCTTTAAATGGTCTTTCAGTCTAGTTCTATAGGCTACACAATCATGGGGAAGACTGCTGACTTGACAGTTGTCCAAAAGACGACCATCGACACCTTGCACAAGGAGGGCAAGACACAAAAGGTCATCGCTAAAGAGGCTGGCTGTTCACAGAGCTCAGTGTCCAAGCACATTAATAGAGAGGCGAAGGGAAGGAAAAGATGTGGTCGAAAAAAGTGTACAAGCAAGAGAGATAACCGCACCCTGGAGAGGATTGTGAAACAAAACCCATTCAAAAATGTGGGGGAGATTCACAAAGAGTGGACTGCAGCTGGAGTGAGTGCTTCAAGAACCACCACACACAGACGTATGAAAGACATGGGTTTCTGCTGTCGCATTCCTTGTGTCAAGCCACTCTTGAACCACAGACAGCGTCAGAAGCGTCTTGCCTGGGCTAAAGAGAAACAGGACTGGACTGCTGGTGAGTGGTCCAAAGTCATGTTCTCTGATGAAAGTAAATTTTGCATTTCCTTTGGAAATCAAGGTCCCAGAGTCTGGAGGAAAAGAAGAGAGGCACTTCATCCACGTTGCTTGAAGTCCAGTGTAAAGTTTCCACAGTCAGTGATGGTTTGGGGTGCCATGTCATCTGCTGGTGTTGGTCCATTGTGTTTTCTGAGGTCCAGGGTCAACGCAGCCACATACCAGGAAGTTTTAGAGCACTTCATGCTTCCTGCAGCTGACCAACTTTTTGGAGATGCAGATTTCATTTTCCAACAGGACTTGGCACCTGCACACAGTGCCAAAGCTACCAGTACCTGGTTGAAGGACCATGGTATCCCTGTTCTTAATTGGCCAGCAAACTCTCCTGACCTTAACCCCATAGAAAATCTATGGGGTATTGTGAAGAAGAAGATGCAATACACCAGACCCAACAATTCAGAAGAGCTAAAAGCCACTATTAGAGCAACCTGGGCTATCATAACACCTGAGCAGTGCCACAGACTGATCGACTCCATGCCACGCCGCATTGCTGCAGTAATACAGGCCAAAGGAGGCCCAACTAAATACTGAGTGCTGTACATGCTCATACTTTTCATGTTCATACTTTTCAGTTGGCCAACATTTCTATAAATCCTTTGTTTTTATTGGTCTTCAGTAATATTCTAATTTTCTGATATGATGAATTTGAGATTTTCATTTGTTGTCATTTGTAATCATCAAAATTAAACAAAATAAACATCTGAAATATATGAGTTTGTATGTAATGTATGAATATAATATACAAGTTTCACTTTTTAAATGGAATTACTGAAATCAATCTACTTTTTCATGATATTCTAATTTTATGACCAGCACCTGTATTCTAAATCATGAACCTATAAAAAGAATAAGCTTTTCTGATTCTGTTTTAGTGTATTTCTTATTTTTTTTTGTTTTGGAAGAGAACTTTTATATTCCTGTAAATACTTGATGAATTGATATATATTTTGTAAAAAAAAAAAAAACATTTTAAAAGCTAAATGGAAGGTACAAATACAATAAAAGGATGCTATTTAAAAGTCTGACTTGGTATTTTCAATTTTATTTAGTTTATTTAGTTAGCGCCTATTCATAAGTTTTTTATCTGAGGAAAAACCAGTTGATTGCATCGACTCATTGACTCGATTGCAATCTCTCATTTTCAGTTTTGTTTGTTATTTTTATGCTTCTTGAAGGCATTTCCCATACTTTTTATGTCATATTAATTAATCAAAAATTAACTAACTTGTAACAACCGTAAAAAACAAAGCAAAAGATAAAATTAAAAGGCTATAAAAATAAAAACACTAAAATGAACACGGTAAAGCAGAAGTCTTTGTGTTAAATAGAACTTTCACGTTTTATTTATCCTTTTTTTTTTACTTGTGGTATTAAGCTTTAACATTCATATTTTCTTATACATATAAGTATAGTAAGCATCTTAAACTATAATTTGAACTGACTAAATTAAGTTGATATAAATCGATTCATTCTAATTAAAAAAAAAATAAAATAAGGAAACATAAATTAAGAGATAAAAACAATGTTTAAAACATTTTAGATCCAATTGAAATATTTTCTATTCCAACTCGTTGATTCTTTTCAGCTTTTTGTGTTTTCTATTACCTTTCCACATTTCTTCCTCATTTCTAATCAATTAACTACGCTCACCTGTGCTAGTCTAATTATCTCCACCTGCGCTCTCCAGGATATAAGCTCATTCAAGCCTCTGATTAGTTGCCAGATTATCTAAGCCTTTATGTAGATGGAATCAAACCTTTTGAAACCAAGTCAGGCAGCGCTGATCATAACCCTCATTTCTGCCCTCGGGGCCCCTGCTCTCTGCCTGCCCCAGCCTGATATTTCCTCAGTTTTTGCTTTAATGGTTTCGACCCTTGCCTGCTTTCTGACTCCTCTAAGTCTGAAAGATTTGTGTTCATTACCTAATTCTGAATCATAAAAGCCAGGAACTGGATCAATGCATGGGTCTTCTGATCTTTAACTGTCTCTGAGGGCCTTCAACAGACACACATATGGTTTTTTCTATCCAGTGTCCTGAGATGCCAATTTCCTGATTCTTAAATTAAGACTTGACTATTAATTTTGTGTGTTCACTGTGTCTGTTGGGCCCAAAAGAATATCCATGCTGATAAAGAGTATAATAAATTAAATACAGTCACTCCAGTCTTCCAACCAACCATCACATACACTGAGAGCATTAGCTCATGCAGCATCTTCTGTTGATTTTCATTAATGGTGTTTTCCCTTGTTCCTGGGAACTCAAAATCTCAAGCCATAAATTTTAGAGATGCACGATATTGGGATTTTGGCCGATATCCGATATGCCGATATTTTAAAACTCATGTAGCCGATAACCGATACCGATGTTAAAGCTGGACAAAAATAAGTTTTCATTGAAAATAGCAGTTTTGTTATCCATTTCTGACACTTTGAAAAATAATATACTCAAATATATTTTCATATGTTGATATCAAATTGATTTTTAAAAACGCGGTATCGATGTATTTTACTTTCAAAATCTCGTGAAATTTCATCGTTCTGTTACAAACTGTCGTGATATTTGGAAATTCTTGTGAGATTTTGTTAGTAAAATAGATATATATCAATATATCAACATATAAAAATATGGCAAAATTTCGTGAATTTTCGGGATATTTCGTAGCATAACGATGACATATAGCAATATTTCATTAGTAAAAGAGATTGATATGGTGTTTTTAAATGGCAATATCAGCATATGAAGATATTGTGATATTTTAATGTATCAATATTTTTTCCCTTGTCTTTAGAAGTTTTTAAGTCTGTAAAAAAGAAGTTTTTTAAGAAGAAGAAGTAGTAGTATTTTTTTTTTTTTTTTAGACTTTAGAAACTTCGGGTTAAATATCGGTGGGGTGGCTGATGTCCGATATTCAGTTTTAAGGCCGATACAGGCCGATACCGATTGGGGGCCGATTATATCGTGCATCCCTAATAAATTTCTACTGGAGAGCTGGTGCAACGGGATGATACCCGAATTCCACATATGAGATGGATGCTACTCTCTTCAACAGCAGTTAAACTTTTCTAAGTTGAATGTTTGTCACACTTGGTATTAAGAAGGTAGCATTCAGTCAGTTGTACTACAGTAGTGTTTATGGGTCAATTTGTTGTAATGGTGTATATATGAACTAATTAATATAAGCCGGTGTTTTTAACCATGACCAAAGCAGCCATGAAGGATATGACGGTCTAAAAACTGGAACCCATTTGCCTCAGACACTATTTTACTCCAACTCATTAAATTTGACTTCTGAGGATAATAAAACACACCAATATTTCCTGGCCTTTTACCCACTAGTTTTAACCTCAATCTGCTTTTAAAATTGAACTTCGGTTGTTGCCTAATCCTGTGTATTTTGTTGTGAACTATCTGCTTTGTTTGTTTTATTGTACAGCACTTTGTTGAACATGTTTCTGTTTTAATATGCTTTATAAATAAGGTGGTATGGTTTGCCTGTGGCTTACTGTCAACATTGGTTAAGCTGGAAAATGCTTAGGTTATAAGAAACTTTGTTTTATTGTATATTGATCTGGAAGGCATTAATCTATAAAAAGGAAGCTTCAGGGAAGAATACCTTTTTTTCTTTTCTTGTAGCTTGCTATAAACAGACTTGTCTGTCTACTGGATTTAGCATAAAGGAGTGCTTGTATTTGAAACTATATTTAGCTATGAAAACAGGGTTTGATCAAACATAAATGTTCACAGGGGATCAAAAATAAACAACAGTGCCCAGAAAAAAAACATGGATGTAGCACTTTTTGAAGTTAATATTTTTCTGTTAGATAGAGGTCAATGAAACAAAGATTTTCGACTTTGACAAGATCAATACAGCACAATAATAGCACAGATTGATAAATTCATTGTGATGTTCTGGCTTTCTTAACACTGGCTGACAGCAAAAGGAAATAGAGGGAAAATCTGCTTTAATTAACAGAGGGTATTGGAGATAAAAGAACAGATGCCAGGCCACCGCATCTAATAAAAAGTGTAGTTTCCATGTCTGGTCTAATTTCATTTAATCTGAAACTGTCTCTAGCATTTAATTCTGCAATTTCTTGCTAAACTGAAAGAGCGGATTTGATATAAGGGCACGTGGGTGACAGCAAAAACAAGAAATGATCAAACAAACTGCTTTTAAAAGATAAATAAATAAAAACCTCTGAGTGATGAGTACAGAGTGATGAAATTTCTTTAAACTAGCTGATTTGCATGAACATGAGCCGAGTATATGCCGACAGCACAGCAATACAAGGCAAGAGCCAACAATGAAACATTTCTACTTTCTTTTCTTTAATTGTAAAGAACTTATTTTGTATAGGAATACCTTGGTAAGAAACTTTTGTTTGTCTATTTTTAACCACACAATAAAAGCAATGCCACAAACTTAAAGAAAAAAAAAGAGAAAAATGAGGCCTCTTACCCGATGATAGGGTGTTTGAATCCCAGCTTGGCAGTGGTCTGCTGTATCTCCTTTTCCAACCATGCCTGAGGGCGTACAAGATACTTGACGAACTGGGACACCCACCATACAGAGGGGTCACCATGCAGACGATGCAGACGTGGAGCCAGGTCCTCCGGGATTGCCAGAGGTAAGTAGGGGGGTCGAGGATGTAGGCTGTCCACAATGGGCAACTCCACAACTTGAACGTCCTTATCATTAGCCTCCCCTATACAGAAAAAAAACATTATGTAAGATCAGGATTTTGAAGCTCAGAATGTGTGCTGTGGTATTTGGCACAAAGATGTTAGAGGCAGATCTTTAAGGTTCTGTTGGATAAAGTGGGGCCTTGATTAAACAAAATTTTTTTAGATTTTTAGATGAGTTATTACAGTTATTAGCGCGCCGGACTGGAGTTGTGACAGGCAGCCCGGGTCACAGGCGGCTACGCTCTACTCCTTCTATTCATTCGGCTAGCTAATCTGAATCGCTCAATTCCATTTCGAGAGCGAGATCATCTGTGGTAGTAGCACTAGACATCTTCCAGGCATGTGAGTAAAACTAGCAGTAGTTCAGCGGACAGGATGAATGAATGGTAGTCAGCGCGCGCGGATGACGTCATAAACACTCCTATTTGTTTTTAAAACATATAAATATTAAAAATATAACCGCGGATGTCTGTGGGACAGTGATTCGCCTACATGTTATGAATGCTGGCGAATCATAAAGAATAAATTATGAACAGTTTAGATTGTGCCTTCAACTCGTTGCCCAAAGGAAGACGTTACTTGAAATGAACAAACCCGAATATCTTCGGAACGGCTCCAAATGACACAAAACTCATATGGGTAAGTAGAACATGATGTAATAATGTAAAATCAAGGGCCAATGCAAAAAAAAAAATGGTGTTCCCCTTTAATCTAAGATGGCTGTCAAAAACAACACCGTGACATGTACACGACTCCCTAACCCTTCACATTTTTGTTCTTCACAGTACTGTGAACTGTGTTTTCCTTTATTTTTCATTCAGACTTGCTGATACTACTGTATCTTCAAAAGTTATTTGACTAAAAGTTGCATATCTGTTGGATCAGACCACAAAGCCTTTGCTCCCTAACATGCATCAGTGAAGTTTACCCCATCATCAATTAACTAGTAAGAAGACCCACAAGACCTCCTGCTTTGGAAATGCTGTGATTGATTTTTCACATCAAAGTTAACAAACTATATACCTTGTACCCTGTATAGCTGACCCACCAACAGGTACAATCCAAAAGACATAATCAGTTTTAGTTACTTAAGCTATCAGTTGTCACGATGTAATGCAAAATTGTGGCGTATCTTATTGTGCAAACTTGGAAAAGTTAAATGATGAATTATGACCTTTAAATCAAAAAAGAATTGGGGTAATGACTAAACAAAGGTTGAGGTAGAAGGCTGACACTTTTCCCTAGGAGGAAAAGAAAACAACAGAAAAAGAAAACAGAAAATCTTCATCTCAGCACAGGTGTACAATATGTAATCAGATTTTACAGTTTTGTTCAATAACAGCCATTGTGTTCATCTTATACAACTTTAATTTGTTCTTTCTGACTTTTTATATTTCCATACTTATTTGTGTTAAATTAACGTTTTGTAAAAAAAAAAAAAAAAAAAAAAACATTACCTGGCAATAAATACCTTTTGATTATGAGGTCATGTTCATTTCTTCAATTATTTTTCAGATGTTATGGGTATGACATTTTATGTCATTGGGTTACATGACAACCAGCTATTACATTTTTTTTTATTTTTTGTATATTTCCGTTTTACAGCTACATGAAGCTTTATTTACAATTGTTAAATCCATTTTTACACTTTTTTTTTCCTGATATGCACATTTCAGTGTAAAGGCCTTTTACTGATTTGCAGATTTCCGAAACAGCTGACTGCAAATGTGTTACAAGAGGACAGACAATGTATTTAACAACACTTCCAGCTACCGGGCATTAATGCAGGGCTCACTCTAACTATGATGTGCCTGCGGTGTGGAAGCTGCAAGGAACTAAAATAATTTAAACAAGTATGTACACCCACATTAGCCACAATGCAGGGTAAGTGGGGTTACTGTGGCTGTGTGGCTTAATGGAATGATTACGCAAGAGGGAGTATGGTTGAATGCTGCACCAGCCCCTGTATGACGCTCCTGCATTTCCTGAGCAAACAGGAAAGGTCAGGCACCAGAAAGAAAAGAATAAAAGTAAATATTAGAATAAAATCAACCCACCACTTTAAAATGGAAACATGAGGAAAAATACAAGTCTGCAAATCTTCAGGTTGTGTTCAGATATCCACATTCTACATTTAATGCACAAAAAGATACTGAAACACTTATTAAATTTCACGATGCTTTAACTTTACATCTAAATTTTGTTTGCAATTGATGCAGGTCGGCAACCCAAACTGCTTAAAGAGCCATGTTGTAAAAATGAAAAAGTCTTATATAAGCCTTGTATGGCAACACAGGCTCTAAGTATATTAGCCCACTATATAAAAGAACTACGTTGGCTTAAATATATAATAAGCATTCATGATTAAATGTTTATCCTGGAGTAAATGTCACATAGTAGCATGAGGTGAGGGAGGAGCAGTAAAAACTCTCACCGTGAGCCGCTTCACAACTCTTAACCACGCGGTTTAGGTATATTTGCATTTATGAAATTATTGAAACACAATAAACAAATCTTTCCATGGTGGACGTGGTTTCGGTTGGGAGGAGTTGATTGAGTCACGAGGAAGCAAGCAGGAACTGACAGAGCTCTCTAACCCTGAAATCGGACATCCTCCGTCACTAGCGTTCCTTGGTGTTTTCATTTTGAGAATTTGGGGAAAAAATTCAAGAATGTTCACATACCTGCATGAGAGTGCTAGCTGGTCAATCTGTGGATGGTTTTCCATACTTGCAACAAAACTAGTTTTAAGTGGAGTTTTGAGATCTAATCCACACTTTTTAAATCTATCTTTGTTCTCCTCTAATCTATCCAGAAGTTCTACAATCACACTTTTTCTCTCACTCCCAACTTTGTGGTCGGCTGCATATTTAGCTTGCCTTCCCTGGAAATGCCTTTTCAAATTACTCTTATTTTTGGACAAACTCCCATTACAATGCAAAAATGCAGGCAATCCTTCCGCATTGATAATGAAAGCAAAAGATTTGGTCCTTCTTTCTTTGCATCCTCTGTTCTCATCTTCCTTTTTTTTCCCTTTTGGATGCATGGTCCGCATGGTTGTACGTCCTTTACTAAAACTAATAGAAATTGGCTTTTGGGATGTATGGCTTTGGTACGCCCTAATTTTTAACAGTAAACTTCCCTTAAATGTTTAACATTTAATGTTATGATCCCTCCAATGAAACTGTTTGTTAACGCTACTTCTAGCTGCCACGAACAGTAGCGGATAACCCCCAAGAGGCATTAGAGCCTGTGGCAGCTGCTGCTGGGGATCCAGTGACATCGCACAACCAGTATATGGGGGTCTGAGCGCCTAGGACAGAGAAATTATATTATAAGCAAGGATCTTTAAGGGAGGAGGATCTTGATGAACTGACTGCACAGACAAAGTGTTGAGGTGGACCTTCTTGCATAAAAATATATTAAAGCTACTTTTTACCCAATGATCACATCAAAAATAGCAAAGCCACTGAATATAGCAATGCCATTGAACACAGGAGCAACAGAAGCATCACACACTGACCTTTATCTGTACAAGCATAAAAAATTAAGCAGCAGATGCTTTTTTTTATGCTCAAATCACGGTATGAATGTATTTAAGTTAAAGTATTACATGTCCTGATTATTTGAATTAACCTATGAAACATAATATTGTACCTAAAAATGATCTCATGTCTTCCTTATGAAACTTCCACCTCCAGTGAAACACATATCCTTCGCTTAATCAGGACAAAAGTAGTGTTGTAACTATGACAAAAAGTTAGCTGCATTCCACCTCAAAATGCAGGAAATAGCGTTTCAAAGAGTCTAAATTTCAACATTTTCCAGAGGAGGATACCACCGGACCCCAATACACTGCATAACGGCTAAAGATGCGATACACCAAGGTTTACACCCTATGAAATATTCCTAGCTAAAAGCCCGCTTCAGTTGAAGCAAAACATCTGTCTCTATCAAGAAAAACTGATGCAGAATTGATAAGTAGTCTGCAGCACTGAAAAAATGTAGTGCATTGTTTCACTCCACTTCAAAACCACCCTGTCCTCCAGCAATACTGGACTGATTTCATTATATTAAATAAACTGATTGAGACATATTGATGAAAAATGCCTAATCTTGAAGGACTTTGATGCGAGGGAGGAAAAAATTCTGTCCAAGTGTAAAATAGTTTTGGATTGGTCCACTAATAGAAAGTAGTTATTTGTGAGATTTGCAGGTAATTTATAAAGTATGTTTTTATATAGGAATTCTCTTTAATATGTTATAATTAGGAGGACTGGTAAAGTAGTTCCGATTACTTGGCTGTATGGCTTCCATCTGCCCTTCCTCAAAGGCTACAGTAATCTCTCTACCAGCTGAACAAAGAAAGGGGCCTGAATAGAAGGTAAGGGAGGTTGGCGGGTAGTCTAAAACTAGACAACCCAAGGGATGTGCCATGATTGGAAAAAGCCCCAAGTAGAAGGCTTGACAAGAGCAGATTATGAAGGTCAGCCCTTTGGATCACACAGTGCCCTGAACTGCCAGACCCCCCTGACCATCAAGGCCAATTGTGTGCACTACAATACATAAGTGCAAAAGCTATGCACCTGCCGGTCAGATAAAAAAAAACGTTGAAAGCATGAACATGCATGCAAACTATCCCTGCATCTAGCTCTGTAAATTATTTCATGTGCACAAACTCTTATGAAATACATTTTATGTGGTCAGACAATGATAATCTAAGTGGGTCAAAAAAAACAGCAATAGACACCAATTGTATGCACACTCTTAAACTCACACAAACAGCTCCACTTAATCACATCTTGCCAGAAGGGATGTTCCTGGCAGACAGAACCTACACCCCATTTAAAAACCAAGCTGAGTTTTTGTGTGTGTTGTGTGTGTAGAAAACCCTTGAATTATGTAAAAAGACACGTTTTTAGGCCTGTGCTCCTCCAGACTTAAGTGACTTTCACACACAGGTTGTTGCACAGCTTCAAATCCCGTCTGCAGTGGATAGCACTGTTGTCTGACTGCAAGG